AAAAGTAAACACCAAAGTAATTTTTTTTTTATTTCTCTTCTCACATTTTTTTCATTTGAAAATCTTTCTCGATTGCTTATACACAAATTGTCTTTCTTTTTTCTTTTAAAAAATTAGCTTCAATCATCCGATTTCACAATAAAAATTTCATCTAATTAACTTTTTCGTTCTCGATAATTTTAAAACATCTGACTTGAAATAGAGCATATATAACTTTTTATCCAATGAATAGTATGTCTACTGGAACACGAAAAATAGAACGTGAAATAATGCCCTGAATAAATTACTATGAAACAGAAGGTAAAGCATTAGTTAAACAAACTTAACTATCAAACATTTTCTAAATAAAACTTTTCTAGATATACACTTACCACTACCACAACAAATCTAGTATCAAAAGTAATTTTTTTTTAATATGAAAGAACATATTAACTCCAATCACAAATAATACTTAGTTTTTCCTACAACACTGTTACAATGACAATAAAAATATAATATAATAAGAGTCAAATACTACTGGTAAATATCAAAGTAGGATTATAAGAAAACAAATCAAATCCATAAACATAAGATAATCGTACTAAAAAAATGTACAAACCTTTTGTCCAAGTCCAACCATGGCACTCTTTTAAAAATAGAAAAAGTAACTGCAAAAGAATCTTAAAAGAAAAAAAATTGAAATACCTTTTCTAGAAAAATACTATAGTCTTTGTAACAGAGAAGTAATTGTACCCATTAGAGTTGTGTTCGAACACATGTTGAGTGTTGTTATATGCATATTTGAACAGAAGTAATGCACTGCAACTTGAAGAGGGAAGTTCTGGCGCACGTTTTCCAAAACCCACAAAATGGCGATCCTGGGATACTGAATCGCCCTCATCAGTTCTGAGGTGCATTTAATGCAATGCCACAGAAAGCAATGAGCTACAGCTCCAAACACCAACTTCTCAAACATCTCTGTTTCATTAACCATTTCCTCACATTTCTTATGCAAATTCAATTTCTGGGAAAACCAAGTTAATCAGTCACTGTGAGGTCATTATCTCACTAAATACTGACCCTACATTGATTTTCGTCTTAAAGTCTGCATCTTTACGTTCCTCCCCACTTTCTTTGGGAAGAAAAAACCAGTGTGTCTGTTTGTTGGTCTCATCAAGGATAAAGAGATTAATATAAATTACTACTGTTTCAATCACTTGTTAACTACTGTATTATTTCATTTTCTCTGTTTCTAATTCAAAAATAATATTAACTATTAATCAGATACTTATTTGTCATTTTTTTAATTAATTTAAATATATACATTTATCATGATGTAGAAATAGATAAATAAATAAGTTTATAATATTTTATTAAGTTATAACTTATAAAAATAAAAAACATAGAAAAAAAGGAGATAGCAGGATACAACTTCAATCCTAATTGAAAAATTCCTCTAAATTACATTAAAAATGCCATGTAATGTTTAAAAATGACTTTTTGGGATTGGGGTTTGAGAGGTGATAGTAAATCCAATTATTAATTTACACAAGTCCCATAACAATAATAGAGTTGTAGGGGTGAATTTTTATTTCCTAGTTCTTGGTGACTAATTAAATTTGAGTACTTTAAAAGGCAAGATACAAATATTAGGATGAGTAATTAATGAGTTTTAAGATCAATAATATTTGAAAAATGTTTCAAACTTCTATAGGTTTGTCTTAGGCTAACCTAATGGGTATTAACTATCCAATTCAACAACTCATAATACTATAAACATTGAACAGTAATATTTAAAGTTGTGTCTCTCTCACTAGAAACCAGAATCTCTATGCAAAAACCTAGGTTTACTTGGTTTATAATGGAATGAAATTTAAAATCAGTCAGGTTTAGAAGCTTCTCTAGACAAGTCAACAGTTATAGGGTAGGAATCTATGCTTCATTGTTATCAAACATTGTCTTTGTAAAGTGTGTGTTTTACTTCAAAACAAAGCAAGTTTAAGGCAGCTCCTTCAAAGATCCATGAGAATTTGAATTTAGCAACCTATTACTGATATTAGTTACAGCTAGCAACCTACTATTATAAAGTTTGACTCTTCCCAAACTGGTCCCAATGTCTTCATTATATATATATAGTAGTTTGAGACAAAGGGTTGATGAATCGAGTGGAGATAATCAAAACCCTAAATAAAAATCATAATCTCTTCTTTAAAGTCAGAAAATTGTTATCTAATTTTTTTTCAAAGGACAAATTTTTAATTTTTACAAATTGAAATAAACTCATAATATGGTTGTTAATAAACTGTCATCACCGTTTACAAGATGACAAATTGACATTATTTTTCAAACTCTCAGCAATTATACATACACAAACCATAATAATATGATTTTTCTTATCCATATGTTCATTAGCAATACTATCATTATTATTTATTTTAATAATAATACGTGTTTAAAATTGTTAAAATGCAATCATCAATATTGCCTTATAACATTATATTAATATGATAAATAGAAGTAAAGTAACTTACATTTAATGTTTCAAAAACTAAGATAAACTTATCATAATTTCAAATATTAACTTCTAAAATACTTTTCGACAAATATTGTATAAAAATATATAAAAGTGTGAAATAATTTTTTTTCCTGAGGCTATGTTTTTTAGCCTTTATAAAATTTTAAATTAAAAAAATTAGAAAGTAAAAAACACAAGCTAATTTGAACCTGCAACTAAAAAAATTATCTAAAATTCATCGAAAATAATATTAGAGTGATTAATATTTTCTTACTCATACAGTGATCAGTAATACGCGTTTTTAGGATTAATCTGTATATATGTTAACTATTAAATCATCACACCGGAATAAACAAAGAATTAGATATTTACTGGTCTCTCTTGTTCCTATCTCATAATAAAAAGACCCAAACTTACATGAAGAAGACCAGTTTCCTTTAATTTATATATTTTCATGAATATTTGTTATTATTTTTAGTAAAAAATAATTTTATAATTCTATTTTAAAAAATATTTTTTTTGTTTTTTTAATAGTAGCTGTTTTTATTATTTTTAATAAGTAACATAAAGTTGAATTGATTAGGTCTTACCAAACTAACTTGCCCATTATTTCTGATGTTAAAAAATGTTCATATTTCTCTACTTTTTATTTTACTATTTCGAGGTGGTTGGACCAATGCTATGGATAGGAACATGTGTAGTGCCGTATTCAAGATAAGATTTGTCATTTGTTACTCTTAATTTGTTAGGAACTATAAATTGTGGTGCACTTTTAACATTCTCTTCATCCTCAACATGTCTTCATGTCACCTCTTGTTTTTTTCAACAACCATGTGTATTGCTGAAAGCGAGTGACAACGATCTAAGTTCTTTTGTTCAATTAGGTGGTTTACAAGAGATTAAGATCTCCTACCAAGTTACATGAAAAAACACAATTTTTTTTTGTGAGAACATGAATTTTATAAAGATTGAATATGAATAATTTATTAATTTTAGGAACGTTAAAGTGAAATGTGTTGTACTGTAGTAGAATCTTTTGCAAGCAGATAATATTGGATTTAAAAACACTAATTACATTCCAATTTTATAGCTATAATAGAAAATGCCTATAAAGACAATGTTTTCCAACACAAGTATAAGAATGTAGATAGATAAGCTTACATGTATTAATGTTTTCAGTTCTCTGGCTAAAAAACACCATGATAATGCAGCTTGGTGCAGGCACACAGGATATAAGTTCAGCAGGACCACGCCAAAATTCTGCGCTGGATTTGTACCCATCATTTGATAATGACTGCCTAATTCAAAAACTAACGGCTCTGATCTCCCTAACTGTGTCAGTTCTGATGAACTCAACTGCAACATATCTAAGGGTCAATATCTCACTAGAGGAACAACTATACACATGTAGGTTGCACTCAGAAAGTTCACCCTCATATTTAGTTATTTTTAATGTCATGTTAGATAAATTAATTGATACATGCTTTCTTTTAAACATATATTAACTGATGTCATTAGAATATTAAGAACACCATCACTGTGTACAGATTATTGAACACAATATTTTATATGGAGAAAGCATCAGTTATTTTCAAAGACAGGAAATTTATATAGAATTTCTTTTTTGTTTTGGTATCTGATATTTGTCTCTACTCACGGTTACTTTTTTTGCCAAATTCAATTATTGGTTCAGATATGTATAAGAAGTGCTTTATATTAACTCAAAAATTGATAAATAACTGCTTTAATTAAAACTGAAGAAGACATTATTGATACAGTACTATTTTTTTATAATATTTGTTTTCAACCTATTGATCAAAATATTATCATTTTTTTATGTTTTTCACAGTTCAGCTAAGGAAGCTTAATTTATAGTTGACAATAAGTTGGTCAGTATAGAACAGTGTACATCATAAATTCTTATGATACTGTTGAACAAAGCAAACCTAACCCGCTAACCTCGTTCCGTAGAATGTCATCAATTTACTGGATTTGAAAATATTGTCCATATTCATTAATTACTTACCATAAACAACTTTAAGATTTTTTTAAGAACTATGTTCAGATGGAGAAAAGAAAAAAGATTGTCTATCTGAATGAAAGCAATAGAGGACTTAATGTCATTTAGCAAAATAAAAGATAATGACATTACAAATCTTTGTAAGCATAATAATATAATTTAAGATAAATTAAGAAATTTCTAATCCTTGGCTTCTTATGCAGTTAAGGAAACAAAAATTGACAACCTAGCTCCATTTTCCTGGTATGGTTGCATTTCCTGCATAAGTGTGACTCCCATAAACACAGATTATACAGGAGAAAAAGAACCATGAAAGTGCCATTCAACAAAAAAAATACTACTAACTATAAACACAAAGTGCCAAGTATGATAGGGTACACAAAGACGATAACTAATATTTGCCTTAATGAGTATTTAATTCAAAGAGGATGAAGAAGATGAAGACTGGTCTTCCCTAACTTGTTCTAAAGGAACAAGAAGACATAATTAACGGGGAGCTGAATCAACCTCGTCCTCAGCTTCCAAACATGAAACACAGTGAGTGCTGCAAGAGGAAGAAAGAGAAGAGCTGTAGAATGACAAAGGGGAAGAAGGAGAATGAGAGTTTATATCAGAAAAAGCCACCAATAGATCAATGAAAGCACCGACAATATAACCATGGTTGCTTTTTCCATTGACTTTCAAATACCAACATAAAAGCTCTTGGAGACCATCAAAGTCTTTAACGCACTGGGCTTCCACCATCTCTTCCATGGACCTGAGGAAGTCCACGTAAGGGTCCTGAGACTCCACAGACATAACCACGCTGTCTTTGAAGGGCAACGTTGTTGTTGTTGGTGGTGGTGTTGGTGTTGTAGTTGTTTGTGTTTGTGTTGGTGTTGGTGTCGATGTTCCTGCTTTGGACTCTAATATGGAGCTTGTCTGGTCGGGGTGGAAGAACAAACGGTCGGAAGGCAAGGGGCGAATGAGGGTCTCAAGGGAATCCGGTCTTCTAGAATCTTCTTCTGAAGCGGTAGAGAAGCTTCCAGAGTCGGGAGAGACAGTGAAGAAGGAGTGGGAGCTCTCGGGCATGTCGAAGTAGGCTGGGTTGATGGTTTTGAAAGCGACATCGTTTTGGTCTCGAAAAGAGAGGGTTCGAGGTTGGTGGCAAGAGGGCCATGGCCAGGAAGTGGAAGAAGGTTTGGGGTGTGAGTTCTTGTTGTGGAGAAGGGAAGGAAGCTTCATTTTCTTGCCCATGGGAAATGAAATGAAGATTCAAATGAAATGAATTTGAGAGTTTTTTCAGAAAAGAAAGAGACGAAGGTTGTTGTTGTGTTGGGTTGGGGGCATTAATGGGAAGTCAGATGTGGTTCGATGGTGTGTGGGTTTGGGTGGGAAGATTTTAAAGGAGTGGTGGGTCAATTTAGAAGGCAATATTTTGCTGCTTTCCACCCTTTCCTCCCTACTATTATTTTTTAAAAAAGCTTTTACAATTAATCAAATAAATACATTTATTATCAATGCCAACAAACAACTCACTGAAAAACATGATGACAATGTGTAAGGTTGTTTACCTCTTGAAGCTTGGTTCATTCTTTTTACCCGTGCCTCAGATGGTTTCTCGACCTTCCTTTGACTGGCTTCCTCCTCTTCTTCCTCGTGTGAAATGGTATCTTCTCCTCAGCAGTGGACAATGCTTCAAGATGAAGAAGCCTCCCCCAGTTCTTGCTTTTTTTTCGTCTCCGAAAATAACAGCCCCTCCCTGCTCCCTCTCTGCATTTTTTTTAATTTTCCATTCTCTGTATGCCAAATTCTTGTACTGATTTCGTACGCTCCCAACGCCTCTTTGTCAATCGTATCCTCCAAAACGTTTCTCTGCCCTCACCAGCCACTCGCAGAAAACGTTTTCTCTCTCCCCCTCCAGCACACATACGTACACTGGCCCAGCCACACCTTCCTCTTTTTCCTTG